TTTTAATGTGACCTTGTTATCACAATACTACATATGACATCTTTTCAGTCCGGCCGTGTTCTGTTCTGTTAATATGAAAAGGATTTCTCCGCAAATCCTCTCATCTTTGTCCCGGTTATTCACACTGCACTTAAAAACATATCTGCCTCCTCCTTTTCACCTCTAATATCAGCAATGTTTACTGTAATATTTATAAAGTTGGGAAATACAACATTTATCTTGAAAAAAGAAGGAACACACTTTGAAATATTCATCAGTGTTCCAGTAAATGACGGAAAAGTTTTGATTAATGCAACGTTACATAATATAGACTTGGATATTACTGTACAGTAGGCTCATATTTAACAGTGCTGCTGAAAGACTCATTTGAGCTTTTGGGGTTATTCATGGTCTGCTGATTTAATACCTTTACACTTTTAAAGTTTGCTTTTGATGTTCGATGGTTGAGTGAGAAGTATAATGTCACCTTATTGTACGCTGATTTAACAAATTATTATTACTGAATATTTGAAGTGAAACTTTAAACAAGTTTGTCAGTTGGTGACTGCTTACGTTAACAGAAGTTACTCCTATAATTTGCACAAAGCATCAGGAAAAAAGTGGATAGCCTAAGTGATAAACTGATCAGATATGCTGGACAGAATGCTGTAGATTTTAACCATATTAACTTTTAACTTTGGTTTTTGTTTATGTATTCACCCAGGAACATGAAAGCATCACTTGTTTTACTTTTTCAAGGTACAGTGTCTGTTTTCCTCTTTTAGGCATGTTCGCTACAATAAACATTTATATGCAATTAATATATAATGTAACAGAAATGCATATAAATTGAGGCTTTTTCCAGGGGTACTTAGCACTATCAAATACCACATTCCCAAAATTTTGCACACACACAGGGAAAACTTTACACACAACAGTAAATACTGAATTACAACCCACGTCTGATTGACACTAACAGGGTTATTCATATTTTATTCAGGAATAAAGTAAAATGAAACTATAATACAAACACAAATATACTCATTTTAATCAACGTTTTGAAAGAAAAAGTTAAACTCACAAGCCAAGGTGCACAAACATTGCACTTTTGCAATGTACATGTGTGTCTGTGTGGAATTTTGAGGGCATGTTGCCTCAAATGTGGTAGTGGTAAAGGACTACAGACCAAGATGGAGGCTCTCTAAAAACTGCAACACCCAGGTCATGAAGACTAGATGGACAGAAATGGTTTGCAATTATGTTGAGACCAAAAGACAATAAGTAATAACCAGAAAAAATAAAAAAAATCCAATTGCTTGGCTTCTCAAAGGTCTTCACATTAGCACGATACATTTTGTTGAATTCATAGTGTGTATCCATCCGAAAACTGTAAGCAGATTTTACTTGCTTCCTTAATACCAAATTTATTGAATCACTTCAAAACCTTTTCTTACTATTTATCTCTTTTTTTATCCAAAGACCAAAATACAACAATGACAAGATATAACTATCATGTAATAACAGCTAGCCATACATATTTACACTACATGTTTATAGCAGCCATAAAAAGCTGAATCTGCTTACACTTATGTAAACTACTAAATTTAGTGTGCTTTGGTGTCCTACACTAACAGAAAACAACATAAAACAGGCAATTAAAATGCTAAAACTACCAGCTGAAATGAACAAGCAGCCATTTATGACTCCAACTTTTGTACCACAGGTATTCTGCTGTATGATGCTTTGGGATGGGAAGTGAGAATGCCGAAAGACATCAGTGGCCTCAAAGGTTCTTGTCTGGTCATACCATGTTCTTTCAGCTACACATCATACCCACCCCAAAAACCACGTAGAGTTGTGTGGTATCAGTGGGTCTCTAGAGGTTATCCT